GGTTCAACCAGCAGGTCACCTGCAGTACTCCCTGGTTCAACCAGCAGGTCACCTGCAGTACTCCCTGGTTCAACCAGCAGGTCACCTGCAGTACTCCCTGGTTCAACCAGCAGGTCACCTGCAGTACTCCCTGGTTCAACACGCACCGCACGCAGGTCACCTGCAGTACTCCCTGGTTCAACCAGCAGGTCACCTGCAGTACTCCCTGGTTCAACCAGCAGGTCACCTGCAGTACTCCCTGGTTCAACCAGCAGGTCACCTGCAGTACTCCCTGGTTCAACGAGGTCACCTGCAGTACCTGTCAACCGCAGTCATGCTACTCCCTGGTTCAACCAGCAGGTCACCTGCAGTACTCCCTGGTTCAACCAGCAGTCACCTGCAGTACTCCCTGGTTCAACCAGCAGGTCACCTGCAGTACTCCCTGGTTCAACCAGCAGGTCACCTGCAGTACTCCCTGGTTCAACCAGCAGGTCACCTGCAGTACTCCTGTTCAACCAGCAGGTCACCTGCAGTACTCCCTGGTTCAACCAGCAGGTCACCTGCAGTACTCCCTGGTTCAACCAGCAGGTCACCTGCAGTGCTCCCTGGTTCAACCAGCAGGTCACCTGCAGTACTCCCTGGTTCAACCAGCAGGTCACCTGCAGTACTCCCTGGTTCAACCAGCAGGTCACCTGCAGTACTCCCTGGTTCAACCAGCAGGTCACCTGCAGTACTCCCTGTTCAACCAGCAGGTCACCTGCAGTGCTCCCTGGTTCAACCAGCAGGTCACCTACAACACTCCACCACTCACTATGATCTCACACCTCACCTCCATAACTACTCACGGGCTCACATTTAACCACTTGCTGTGTTGATATAAGAAAAAAGCTTGTTCTGCAGGCAAAATATTGTCTCGGTAAAAGTTTTGCTCTACATTTGTATTTCGTCCATGCTGTCATCTTTCCCCAGTGATAAACTCAAAGATGATGTGTTAGATTTTATTGCTGCCTAGTAATATTTTCCTTGCTGCTCAATTTTTGTGGGGAAAACCAGTAGTCAAATGTTATCTCTGAATGTTATTTTAAGTTCAGCCTTTGATACTGACTTAAAAAGCAGAAGACATTGAGGATGAGTAAGTAGATATGATTATATATCTTATGCTTCACCGACTGAAAATTATGTCATGTTATGCTTCATTAACTGAAGATTATGTCATGTTATACTTCATATGACTGAAAATAAGTCTGTAGATTATGTTAAAAAACTTACAATAGCCTCATTAAGTCACTATGAGTAATGATGAAGCACTCTGAAATATATTTAATGATACTTTACATATTAAGATTCCTACACTTTTTTTTGTGAATTTTCCCTCACTAAATAACAGGAATTTCTAAGCATGTATTAACTTGAAAGCAAAATTCAAGAGGATAATTGTTAATCTATGAAATGATAAGACTGCTAGAATATTTCTTTGAAGTTTAAGGTAATTTTATGACATATTTAAACCAGCTGCCACTCCCAGGTTGTGTTGATGCTGGCATACTGGTTTTGTCTAACACTGACACAACCTCTCAATAGGTGACCAGTAACTCAATGGTAGAGCATTCAGAACACAACCAGTGGCACCCAGATTTGATTGCCTGGCAGGGTTATACATATAAGCCTTAACATGCTGCCCCATGTTAACTTAGCAGTAAATAGGTTCCTGGGTGTTTATAGACTGTTATGATATAAACCTTGGTAATAAATACTGACAAGTTGGTTTAGAAAAACAAGTAAGCAGACGACTAGGACATATTTATTAGAAAATGTTTCGGTCCTGGGACCTTGATCACTTCTAACATACAGAGGTTGAAAGACATTATATAAAGGCAGAGAGTGAGGTGTGAGTGACGTATGGTGACCTGAAGAATGCCATATTGGGATGAGGACGAGTAGACGATGAGATCACGTGACTCCTGTGTGGGGCTGTGTTTCGTAGTGAGGTCTTTGATAAATGATGTGTTTATGGTGGAAACATTTATGTTGCACTCGCTGGACACTTGCTAAGAGTAACATAAATGTTTCCACCATAAACACATCATCTATCAAAGACCTCACTATGAGGCGCAGCTTCACACGTCTAACTTCCACAGCAGGCGTCTACACCATCCCCTGTAGATTCTGTCCCAAGAAATATGTAGGCAAAACAGGCAGAGTTCTTGCAGTCCACCTGAACTGGGATGAGGCACAACTCATTTTCACCGAACAAGATTTTAGGCGCCAACCATGTCTAGAAGCCTCGCTAATTGCCATCACCAACACAATAGAATGTAACACTAGGAACCACAAAATTTCTAAAATACAGTGGACCCCCGCATAACGATCACCTCCGAATGCGACCAATTATGTAAGTGTATTTATGTAAGAGCGTTTGTACGTGTATGTTTGGGGGTCTGAAATGGACTAATCTACTTCACAATATTCCTTATGGGAACAAATTCGGTCAGTACTGGCACCTGAACATACTTCTGGAGTGAAAAAATATCGTTAACCGGGGGTCCACTGTATTAGCATACATGTTGCTCAACCAGGCAACGCACCACTTACCCAGCAACACAAGAGTCACATGATCTCATCGTCTACCCGTCCTCATCCCAATATGGCGTCCTTCAGGTCACCATGCGTCACTCACACTTCACTCTCCACCTATATATAATATCTTTCAACCTATGTATGTTAGAAGTGATCAAGGTCCCAGTACCAAAACGTTTTCTAATAAATATGTCCTAGTATTTGATTGACTGTTACAAGTTGCATCTTGTAAGGGTGATGGCATATTATACCTTTGGTAGGGATGGACTTTGAAATGAGCTGAGGCCAAATAACAGCTCATAGCGAGTCAGTTTAACATTGTAACAATTATTTTTGGGGCTTTATGAACTCTTTTTGAATTGGCTCTTTACCACTCATTTATAGTAAGATAGTGTATTATTAACCCTTTTAGGGTTGGTCCCGTACTTGTACGGCTTGAGAGCCAGGGTTGGTGTTATACTTATATGTGTAAATTCTAGCGCCTTCAAATCGAGTGGGAGAAAGCTGGTAGGCCTACACGTGAGAGAATGGGTCTGCGTGGTCAGTGTGTGCAGTATAAAAAAATCGGGGCACCCGCATTGCATTACGGGAGTGGTCACCAAGCTAGGTGGTAAGGAATACCTCACTCTCCAGTGCATTGGGACTCTTCCCTTCTCAGATGATGGTTCTAACGCAGACTAATGTGTCAGTGAAGATGAATCTAATGGTTTTGAGGAGTTTGTGAGAGAAAGTAATGACCAGGATACCAGAAATAGTGATGAAAACCACATCATTATCAACCTTCCACCAAAAAAGTCAGACAGAGTGACTTATTTGCATGTGTGTGGTGGGGAAGACAGTGTGGGTAGAGGAGATGGCAGTGTGGGTAGTGGGGAAGGGAGCATCTGTGGTGGTGAAGACAGTGTGGGTTTGTGTAAACAACATGACTGGCCGGCTGGCTGATTGACTTTGGCTGTATCTATATCCGTCTCTGTCTATCTCTGTCTCTGTCTCACAGGTACACATAAATACAATTATACATAGTGTAAATTATCTAGGATAACCCAAAAAAATCCAGACAAAGTGCTATGCTGTGCTTGTAGATATAATGCATAGTAAGGCATGATTGGCAAGTAATACGTATTTACACTTGCTCAGGAATCAGACTGCGTCGTAATACTTGTTGGTTCACAAGTGGCACTCTCTGAGACAGAGAGAGACAACTAGAGAGACAGAGAGAGAAGCAGACAGAGAGCTAGACAGACAGCTAGACAAAGAGCTAGACAAACAGACAGACAGATAGACAGACATGTTTATGTGTAACTGAAAACAAATAAAGGCAAGGCATTACACGCTTATCAAATGTCACCACTGCTGCACTGTGTCAGTAGTGTGGAGCGACACTTGTCTTACACCATGCTTCAAGGAAACATTATTATTATTATTACATACTCCCACATATCCAAAACGTTGCTGGGACCTATAAATACTATGTATATATTTCTAGACAATAATTTGTGACTAAGGTACATGAAAATGTTCTCCTGTCAATGTTTGTGCAGTTATTTTGTAGCATTCGAGTGAATATATACAAAATATATCTTATATTGCTCTCACAGGCCATAAAAGTACACTTGAAAAAATAAAATGTTAAAAAATAAAAGAAAAAAGTAGAAAAAATAACTACCACGTGACCGGCAGTCGGCAATGTTGCTGTAAGTGGTTCATTTTCTGTCAACTTCGTGTGTTCATATCTCGGTAAGTATTGATCGCAATTTTTTTTTTTTTTTTGCCTATAGCACTCACAAAAACATTCTCTGTCATTTCATAAGAATTTTATTTATTTTTTTTTTTTTTCAAATATTTTTTGACCCTGAGAATGAGTTTCAGAGAGGGCCTCTAGACCCTGCAATGCACTTGACAAGTGCATTGCAGTAATACAGTAATTTGTATTTTTAAGAGGACTTAGTAATAGTGTGGTACACAAGATCTTTCTATATATGCTGCCTTTAATGCAGTTATTTTTAAAAATATACATTGGTTATTTCCTACCAAGGTATGGTGACCTCCCAAAGAAAGAAGTACATTCATCTTTACTTATTCTTTGAATGTCTTGTCAGAAGTTCACTGACAAGTTTAAATGACCCACCAGACACTATCATTCACACCCAGCCTCATTTATTACTACCAAGCAACAATGACCCACTAAACCCCATTATTCACACCCAGCCTCATTTATTACTGCTGAGCAGCAATAACCCACCAGACCCCATTATTAACACCCAACCTCATTTATTACTGCAGAGCAGCAATAACCCACCAGACCCCATTATTAACACCCAACCTCAATTATTACTGCAGAGCAGCAATGAAAAAGTTGTGATAAATTTCTCTCTCCCTAACTGAAAGACTCATAAGATTTCTGTTTATGCAAAAAATATATTTGATTGTATTTCTTGTTTTAGGATTTCATGGTAGGAGTAGCAAAACTGTGGCATGATTTACCTCAAGAAACAAAGAATACATATCATACAAAAGCCAAGGAAAATCTTGAACAGTATAATCAAGAACTTATGAAGTGGGAAGTCAAGTAAGTAGAAAAAATTATTCTTTATTTATCAATAGTTAGTAGGTTGGTAGACAGTAATTACTCAGGGAGGTATTATGGCACTCTCCTGTCATACAGGTGTGAAACAGGGGCTTGTAAAATGGTTTCCACTCTGGTAAGCTTACTGGTGTTTTCTTTCCACAAGTAAATAGCTGATAAATCTTACAAACTTTTACTTATAATCAGTTTACACTTATCTTTGCTTTCCTGTGTGTTTCATGGTAGTTGTTTGTGAAGTACTTCTTTTTCCAGTTAAGGATGCTTTTTCACAAATAACCCAACCTTGAGAGAGGAAAATTGTGATGGTTTGTCTGTCCTGGACCACTGTCAAGTCACATTTCTCAAATTATCCAGCAAACTTTTATTCTTCTTGAGGAGACTTTATCTGAGACTTGGCTACTAGGGATATTTTTGCCAGAACCATTAACAGATGTAACAGATATTATCACTACAGCCTTTTCCACATATTTTAGTTCGTTACTCAAAAATTAACAAAAGCTCATCTATGTGAACAACTGCTACACCATATAAAATATTTTGATATTTTATAATGTGGCTATCCCTCAAGAGAGGTTCATTGATGCCGGTAAAGGGGCTTTTAGTCCAAGGAATTAGACCTGCCTTTCCCTCAAGTACAGCTTACAGCTATCAGCCTGGGAAAAGTGATGGCAGGTTACCTTTGCTTCTGAGAAAACACAAATGATGATTGTCTCTAGGTATCATGAGGGTAATGCTGGAGGAATGGTAAGAAAGAGTGAGAGAGTGTTGGAACCCAAGGATGAGGTTGATATCCTAGGGGTGAGGCTTGATTCCAAATTGTATATGAAGAGCCACATGGTAAATCTTGCAAACAACGCAGCCAAGAAACTAACAGTGCTAAAGTGTATCTCATTCCTGCTCAGCAGTAGAGACTGCCAAAACTCTGTTCAGGGCTCACATCTTGAGCATGGTTCACTTTGTTGGAGTGTCTTCCTTCCTCCTCCTCCCCATCTCATAGTATTTCTGGACAGAAAAGAGAACTAAGCAAGATGACTTATCCCTTGCCTGGATCCAGCCTAGATAAATCTGTCATTCCAGCAGAACCTTCAGCACCAGAGATGTGGGTGGTCTTTTCATGTATAAGCCCAATATTGTCAAGGTACCACACTTGGCTCCACTTTGTGGAAGGTGAGAAGATAGTTTGTATATAACAATATGGGCAGCAAGAACATCACTTCATCTGGGATCATTCATTCCTAGAATGGCTCGGATCTGACGAAAATGAATTGATCAAATGAAATTGCTGGCTCACAGCTGGCTTCAACTTCCTCCTCTTCTTTATTTGCATGTTTAATAGCAATAAAAAAGCTTTCAAATAAGCTGGGGTAGGTAATAGCTCTTAGCTTGTAAACAAGTTATGAACTCTTAACATAATCCTGTAAAAGCCCTTGTGTAAATAAAAGGAAAGAAAGAGTGAGTAATGTTATTTTATATGTTTATGCATCAAATTTAAGCAAATTCAAATTCATTTTATGTTACAGCATCAGATATATGATGGAGAAAATGTCATGTATTTCATGGGCAGCAAATTTAAAAAAATTTATTGCCATTTAAGGGCCAAATGATGGTCCTATTGCCTAAAACCTTCAACATAACATACCCCAGTTTTGTGCCAGATTTTATTATAAAAGCCCCAGTATTTCCAAATATTTCACATATTTGCTGAACTATAACAATTATTTACACTTGGCTTAAAACTCCAGAAAAATTAAAAGTACTTAACACCTTCCAGGACCTTTCTCCTCTACACTTATCATTCTCATGAACATAAACAGTAACTTTTACCCAGTTCTCATATCCCCACTTCATTATAAACTACACATTTCATAAACATTTATTCCCTGTCTTTAGCTTGCACATTTGTTGTTGTACTCTTATTATCTCAGTAAACATGTCACAACTCCCTTTTAATCATTCTTACTGTATTCAGTCTTTCATTAACCTTTGAACTTTCTTTTGCTCAGTGGTAAGACATACTGTGCAATTCTCATATACAACATGAACAATACATATTATTTTTGTTACCCCATTGACCATTTTTCACAACCAAAGAGGGAAATACATTCACTATGATTCACTCAACAGCTGTAGTGTTGGAAGTCCGTGGGCATCACTATACAAATGACCTCCCTGAACCAAAACATCTATTCATAAGTGTGCAGGCACTCTACTTGCCACCTTTACAACTCAAGTCTAATTAACTTTCTTCCAGCAATATAGGCTAGCTTCTTAACCCTTTGACTGTTTTGGTCGTATATATACGTCTTACAAGCCAGTGTTTCGGACGTATTAATACGCATAAATTCTAGCGGCTTCAAATCAAGCAGGAGAAAGCTGTTAGGCCCACATGTGAGAGAATGGGTCTGTGTGGTCAATGTGCACCACATAAAAAAAAATTCTGCAGCATGCAGTGCATAATGAGAAAAAAAAACTGACTGTTTTTTTGGATTAAAACGCCGACTTTGAGGTATATTTTCGTATAGTATTTATCATTGTATTCTCGTTTTCATGGTCTCACATGATAAAATGGAAAACATATTACAGATATAGAGATGATTTTGATTAGTTTCACGATGAAAACGACCTGAAAATTGAGCTGAAGGTAGTGGAAATGTTCGATTTTTACCAATGTTCAGGAGTAAGCAAATCACACCACACGTCCAATACATGTCAACTGGGGAGTCGAGTATTCTTTCACTAGTGCACTGATATTATTTATACCACTTTTACAATAATGCAGTAGTCTGCATAACAGTAAATTTTGTATTTTTTGTATGAATAAAAAATCAAAATAGAAAGCAATAGTAATATTAGAGGGGCCTAGAGACGTGACTAATGAACAGAGGATATGTTATTTTAGTGCCAAGAATGTCTACATTATTTATTCTGGACCCTATTTTGAAATTGGCATTTTTTTCAATTTGCGTGAAATTGGCCAAATTGCCAATTTCTGACCACTTTATTGGGTAGTTCAAATCGGTAAATGGGTGGTTTTTTGCACTCAACTGATAGAGAAAATGGAGTTCTAAAGAAATAGCTATGAGTTTGGTCAATTGGAACAACGGAATTGGCCAAAAACAGGGCTCAAAGTCGGCGAAATCACCGATGCATATATGTCCCCGAGACCGCTAACTTTGCGGGAGCCTAATTCCGGGAGTTTTCGACCAAATTTCGTACTTTTGGTGTCATTACCATTTTTTTTTTTCCCAAAAAATTTGCAACATAGAATGTCAGTTTCAGAAAGAGTCTTGTGACAGTCAAAGGGTTAAACAAATTAAGGAATGATTTAGTATATATAAGAAAACTGTTTTAACTTTTCCATAACTTTTTTCAGAATGTTGAAAGATGGCCGAGATGATCTGGTTCGTAGGTGTAAGCTTGAGGGCGAATTAAAATTTATTGCACAATCCCAGAAACATCAAAAACAGTAGTGGCAAGGTTAAGGTGGTAGTGAGGAAGAGCCATTTTCTCAAGATTTAGCTGTAAGTTTTTTTCAGCTGTAACTGAAAATGAAAATAGAAAATATTAGCCAAGTGGAAAAAAAAATCTCAGGTACATTATTGAAAGAAGCAGGTAAGAGAGAGAAAAAAAATGTCTAAGTTTCTAACATAGATATGAGTACAAAAGGACAAAAAAGGAAAAAAAAAATATGAAACAGAGGAAGTAAATACTAATAATTATGTTGAGTGGAGGTACTGCAAGAATTAAGTAGTAATATCATGCTCAAACAGACTAACTGTCTAGAACTAAAGTGTCAATAGGAGGGTCATGTAATTGTGAATAAGAACACATATTTCAGACTTGAAAAATCATCACCTGATAATGTATTGAAAAATTTATGCAACACCCATGTTAATTTAGATGTGTTTGTTAAACCTATAATATTTGAGACAAAAATTAAAGCGAGGTTATAGCTTTTTAAATTCACATACTAAATTTTATATATTGAAAATTTCAATGAATTTAATGTCAATTAAGTGATGATTAATTGTTATTTACAAAAGAAAAGAAATACTACAAGAAGTGTTAATTAAAAATACAGTAAGTTTCAAGCCAGTAGTGTAGGTGTTTATGTTTAAGTGAGGTTGATGTGAAGAAAGTTGAGCAGCTAATGTGCAACCACCATGCAACACAAGGGTCGCTAGTGCAGTTCCTTGCAACACGTTTTTCACCACCTACTAATAAACAAGGTAAACATATGCAAAACAACCACTGTGAAAATAAAAAGTGAAATTCGAAGTGCTTTTGTGATTTCTCACATAGGGTTGATAATGTGAGAAATCATAATAGCACTTGGAATTTCACTATTTTTTCAGTGGTTGTTTTGTGATATCATCTGTATACTGCTATCTTATTGCAAGATAAACATTCAGGTAGTACCCATTGATGGACACGGTAAACATATTTAGGCAATACCCACTGATGAACAAGGTAAACATATTTATTTAGGGAGTACCAAGCATGGTTCATGTTTACTAGTAGTTACTCCATGTAGTTCAGTTTTTAATGATATACAAGTGTTGCAATAATGGGTTAAAATGTGTAAAACTTCGAGCATCAGCTAACAATGAAGTCACATGATTGAAAAGTAATGTGGAAGTTAACTTGGCAGTACATTAATAGGCATTAATGGAATCAGTGAAGCTTTGCATCGTCTGGCATTCATTGATTCAGATAATTATTCTTATTGCCCAAACTTGAGTCTCTTTACTGTATATGTGAATACATTACTATAAATGTTTTTTACATAATAAATATTATTTGCCTTGTAAAAATCTCAGTGCATTTTTTTTTTTACCTTGGATTCATGTTTTGGAAAACCCACCTTCTGTTCTCTGCATTTTTCTCCACATGTGAATTTAAATGCTAAATGCTGTTATCCTGCCTTGCTCATTTTAAAGTCCGGCCCTTTCTAGGGTATATAACCATCCCCGCAAGATAGCTCCTTGCCCGGTAGTAGCACACTCAGCTCACAAATAAAAGACCTGGCTTCAATCTGTGTTGCATGGAAACATTGGACATGATTCATTACCCCTATTATTCCTGTTGACATAGTAGTAAGTAAGTAGCATCCTGAGGAAGAGGACTCAAAGGATAGCAGTAGAAATAACTAAAACATTGTTTTTCTTGGGATATGATAGAGTTGATAGGAGAGCAATGTGGCAGATGTTGCAAGTGTATAGAATAGGTAGTAAGTTATTAAATGCTGTAAGGAGTTTTTATGATAGTGAGGCTCAGGTTGCTGTGTGTGGGAAAGAGGGAGAATACTTCTCAGTAAAAGTAGGCTTAGATATGGATGTGTAATGTCAAAATGGTTGTTTACACACACAAGGGGCCCCACCAAGGAAGGTTCCTTATGATCTTGAATACAGGGCACTTATAATCTAGGGAATTGCGCTTGCTCCTCCCTGAATTAATGAATACCTGACATAAAGAAGTAAATGCTACGGGTTTAGGGGTTCCGGATTAAATTATGGATAATAAAAAAGAAGTTAAATTGCTAGGTGTTTGGGAGATTAAGAAGTTGTAGGTTAGGAAATTTATGGTAAAAATAAAAGTGGAAAATTTGAACATAGTACAGTTTGCTGAGGTGAACTGTGCTTATGGGAGTCTAAATGGGAAAAGTGCAGCAAGGAGCCGGATGGAGATGTTTAGGATGTGTAGTGTAAATATTATGCAGAGAATTCGTAGTGTGGAAATTAAGAGGAGGTGTGGAGTTGCTAAAAGTATTAGTCAGAAAGGGCTGAAGAGGGGTTGTTGAAGTGTTTTGGTTATTTAGAGAGGATGAAACAAAGTAGAATGACTTGGAGAGCATATAAGTAATTCTGTAGTGGAAGGAAGGCAGGGTAGGGGTCATCCCATGAATGGTTGGAGGGAGGGGGTAAAGGAGGTTTTGTGGGCAAGTGGCTTGGACTTCCAGCAAGCATGAGTGTCTTAGATAGGAGTGAATGGAGACAAATGATTTTTGGGATGTGACAACTGTTGGAGTGTGAGCAGGGTAATACGTATTTTGTAGAGGGATTCAGGGAAACCAGTTAGCTGGACTTGAGTCCTGGAGGTGGGAAGTACAATGCCTGCACTTTAAAGGAGGGGTTTGGGATTTTGGCTGTTTGGAGTGACACATAAACTGTTGTATCTGAGCATCTCTGCAAAGACAGTGATTATGTATGAATGATAGTGAAAGTGTTGAATGATGAAAGTTTTTCTTTCTCTTTGGGTTTTTCTTTCTTTTTGGGTCACCTGCCTTGGTGGGAAATGGCCGGCATGTTCAAAGAAAATGAAAAACCTTTTGTTACTTAACCTCCATGTTAATGACCTTAATAAAGTCTCTTCATTTTCCCGCCAAGAAAGTAAGCTAACATCTGGGTATTTATTTACAGTGGTACCTCAGTAAACATCCTTAATTCATTCCAGGACCTTGGATTTATACCAAACAGGACGTATACCAAACAAATTTTCCCTTAAGAAATATAGGGAAAATGATTAATCCATTCCCATGAAAAAATAATCCTATTGTTATTGGTATATTATACATTGATGGGGTTGTATAAAATAATTTAAACACTTCTTAATACTAAAATAGATACATAAATACAAAAGAATTAGATGAAATAAATGCAAATTTAACCTACCTTTACTTTGTAATAAAGTTGGTAGAATTACCGACAATATGTAAAGTAAAATGACACAAGTGCAACTAATGTGACATTTATTGTGGCAACGTTTCGCTCTCCAGGAGCTTTATCAAGCTTGATAAAGCTCCTGGAGAGCAAAACGTTGCCACAATAAATGTCACATTAGTTGCACTTGTGTCCTTTTACTTTACATATCTTTACTTTGCTGAAAGAGTCAAGTGCCTACTAGGATAGTGCTGAGAAGAGAGGAGGAGGAAATGTTACTGTTTAGAAAGAGAGTCCCCTTCTCTTTTCTGTCTCTTTATCCTATTTGGACCTGGTTGAAGCCCACCAGGTTTGACTTTTACTAAAAATCTGTCCAAAGAACTTTGTTTCTGCCTTCTCCTCAGGATGTTTTGGAAATGTGACATTGTCTGGTCATTCCAGACAATGTCACATTTATGGCTTGTTTGGGTTTTGTTGGGGGTGGTACTTCTCTGAAAAGCTTTTGATGTCTGTGGCATGCAAAGAGTACGTTACACTTTATTCAGCATATGTACACACACTCATATAGGCTGCCTCCCAACCAGCAAACCGGGTGCTAAAATTTTAATGATTCTACAGGGCCCCATCGTTAAATCAGTACCTTGGTTCATTAACCAATCATAAGGTGGGTCTGACAATTGCTGAGGTGATGTGGATCACTCACGGTCAGCACTTGCCAGACTCATACAGCCGCTGGTTGAACACGGTTCTCTCTCTGGCTTTTGTCTTTGCCTTGATTACTGTGTGATACACTTATAAGCCATTCTTGTACACAAATACAAGAAGATGTACAAGAAGGAAAATGCAAGTTAAAGACTACTGCTGTGTTTATTTTTGCTCCAAGTCCCATTATGACCAGGTCAACAGGCCATCATTACCTGTGTGTGTAATGTGGGAAACCCTGTCCGGGAGCTGGTGCTGGAGCTAGTCTTGTATAAACCATACCACGGGCGGGATTGAACCCGCGGTCAGAGAGCCTCGAAACTCCAGACCGTCGCGTATCATTCAGATAGCCTTGCTATCGCTCGGCACTGCGTGTCAACTTTGCCATCACTTCCGTTATTGCGTGTCAGCCTTGCAATTGTGTTTATGTGTATCCTGCAGTCGTACTGTGCAATGTTTGTTGCGTGTAGTGCAAACAGCATGTTATGTTGGGGTTAATGCCACCTACACAAGTCAGGCGATTGGTGTCTGAATTCACTCTACTAAATCTGCCCAAATTCTCTCTACAGCATTCTTGGCAAATTGCTCATTCTCTTGGTATAGAGTATCAAAACACTCTTACTGCTGTGCAGCTTTGTGACATTACGTTTTGCACAAAGCTAAAAGCTGAAACAACTATGGTGCACCAAATTGACGCATCTCTCACTACAGGAGCTGTTAATCACAGATCCTTGCTTAGGTTCCTTCCTAATATGGGAGGGACAACACCAGAGCAATCTGACCAGCAGTCTCGTGAAACAACAGATGTGTTGGATTTGTCTAAGGGAGAGTTCACTTCATTGGCGACTTGAGTTAGCCAAACTCAATCTTGAAACGACCAGGGAGCAGCGAGCATATGCTAGGGAAGACTTTGATAGAGAAAGGAGAGAAGGCAATTCAAGAGGACTGTAGATGACTTTAGTTTGCAAAAGGCAGCATCGCTAGTTTCTCGTTTTGTTGAAGCCGAGCCTGAACAGTTTTTCGAGGCATTTGAAAACCAGGCTTGAGCATCGAGGTGGCCGGAGGTGCACTGGGCAACATTGGTGCATACAGCATTGTATGGTAAAGGCACAGGAGTTTACATCTGTGTTGAACAATGACGACTTTATCAACTATCGAGTAGTGGAAACCATGGTTCTTGGGGCTTATCAGTGTATTCCTGCCAAGTACAGGCAAATGACAGCCGGGTCAGTCTCATGCCGACTTTGTAAGGCAGCAGTCGAAAGCCTTTACCAAGTGGTATAAGGCAAGTGGTGTCACTAATTTCTCGGACATTGTCCAGTTGCTCTTGGTTGATAACTTGCTGGAATCTGTTGGACTGGAGGTTCAAGTCTTTCTTGAAGATCATTCATTGGCCACTGCATTGGAAGCAGCCAGGTTAGCTGATACTTTTGAGACTAACCACTCCTTGTCCAAGCGGTCTTATCTTTCTTCTCAATAGCCTGGCATGAGCAGAGATCGTCAAAGAAGAGTTCCTGACTGGAGGACGAAGTGGCAGGACGAAGGTGAACAACAATGCCAAACAACTAAGTCACCTGGTGAGTCACATTATCCAACTCATGGTCAACCTGGTGACCCATGTTATCCAACTTATGGTCATCCTGCTCGTGCTGAATACGGTAATCAGAGACATCAGTATACAGACTGGTGCCAATCATCAAAATCAGCAGGGAGCCAAGGTAATATGTTATCATTGCCATAAACCAGGCCATGTTAAACTGAACTGCCCAGAAAAAACCCAACCATTAGGGAGAATTACTAATCTCCCTGTTGAAACGAATCAGAAAGAAATAGAGTATGGGATGGCCCCATACTACACATACTTGTCATATCTCCCTTCAGGAGAATTCAAAGAAAACTGAATTGAGAACATTTAGGGATACCGGAGCTTATAGCTCCCTTATAAGATAGGGAGTACTTCCCCTCTCTGAACAAACGTCATTGCACTCATCAGTTCTTTTAGAAGTATTTGGTGGAGCAGTATTTTCTGTCCCTTTACATAAAATATATGTGCAGAGTAAATATTACACTGAGGAGGGGTTGTTGAGGTGGTTCGGACATACAGAGAGAATGGAACAAAACAGAATGACTTCGAGAGTGTATAAATCTGTAGTGGAGGGAAGGCGGGGTAGGGGTCGGCCTAGGAAGGGCTGGAGGGAGGGGGTAAAGGAGGTTTTGTGTGCGAGGGGCTTGGACTTCCAGCAAGCATGCATGAGTGTATTTGACAGGAGTGAATGGAGACAAATGGTCTTTAATACTTGACGTGCTGTTGGAGTATGAGCAAAGTAACATTTACAAAGGGATTCAGGGAAACCGGCAGGCCGGACTTGAGTCCTGGAAATGGGAAGTACACTGTCTGCACTCTGAAGGAGGGATGTTAATGTTGCAGTTTTATAACTGTAGTGTAAAGCACCCCTCT